CCCGACGCGTCTTATACGTCACACTCCAGCCATATACAGCAATACCTCGGTTCACCAACGCTTCTGTGCGCGAACAATTTGGTTCGCGAACTTCCTGTTTTCGCGAACCAAATTGTTCGTGCACAGAAGCGTTGGTGAACCGAGGTATTGGTGTATATGGCTGGAGTGTGACGTATAAGACGCGTCGGGTGTTCCTGCTGTTTAGGACAAGGGGAGGCGCGGCTCTAATCCTTTTCCTTCTCGGCGTCTTCCTATCATTCTACTCTATGAAAGGACCAGCAAAGTTCTGGAATGTTCTGCGTATCAGAAGGCTGTGACCCAGGACGGGGTGGAGGGTAAGGCTCCCTAGGATGAGTGTCTCGGGGCTTCAATAACACCAATGGCGCTGTAGATGTAAGTGGAGGATGATGGAGTACACATGATGGATGATGGAGTACACATGAAACAAACAGAGAAGCACTGAACGGAGGTGACCGCCGGATTACGAAATGCCACATGACAGTAACTCGCACATGTTCCACTCTTGGCGTTAAAACATAAAACGTCTTAAAGCTCCACGAACGTCTTTCAAGGAACCCTCCATCTGATCACCGAAGACTTCAAGTAGATCTAAACCCGAACCGGACATTTAGCTCACTTATAGCACTGCGTATTATTATTATTTATAAAACCTATTCCCATCTCCAGCCTCTTTCTAGCCACTTCCTGTCTATATGCACTCGCCCCAGCATTGGCTGCACAGCTTTGCTCTGGACTCATAGCGACAAGGGCAGACCGTGCCTGTGCCACGCCGCTTGTAGTCTCCATCAGGGGTACATGTGACAGGGTGACAACAAGGGAGCACAGTTGGGAGATAGTTGTCACCCCGCAACAGGAAGTGCCTAAATAAGGGGGAAGGATCCTTTTATTAAAACCTGCAAATTTACAACATTTGAAGAGACATTAGCATTTTAAAGCGGATGTGAGATGCTAGCGATTAGGCTTAGATCTACTTTGAAGTGTACCTGTCATGTAAACACAGAGGGGGGGAATTGATCAAAACCGGAGCAGACAAAATCCAGAGCAGCTCCGCATGGCAACCAATCAGCTTCTCCCTTCGGTTTGTTCAGTTAAGATTTGAAAATGAGAGAGAGGCTCTGATTGGTTGCCGGGCACAGCTGCTCCAGATTTTGAGAAATCCCCTTCAGTGAGAACAGCCATTCTGTTGGCCAAATCACAGTGACAGGCTACAGTTTCATTATCATTGGTCCAGCTGACAACTGCCATCGCTGTGGCCCCGAGTGTCAGGTATTAGGATCAAAGGAACCCCCCAAAAATGCACCTTTTGAATGGGGCAACCCCAACAGAACCAAAAATGCACTCACATTGGGTAAGGCATTTGTGAGAGCGGTGGATACCGCTGTGTCTTGCTGCGGCCCCTCCTGCACACATCCGGTGTCAGGGTTTTCTTGGCAGATAACATGAGGTAGGAGGGTTCAGCTATTCTGAACTGAAGAATTAGCACACGCCAGGAAAGCTCCCACATGAATATTGTTTTCTAGGTTCTAGTCAAGGCTGCACACATTTTTCAGATTTAGGTGGGGTTCCTCTTTAAAGCCCAACTTCAGCAAAATCATTTTATCTCATTTTAAGATCAGGGAAGGACAAGAGCCTCGGTCAAGTCTTTTATTACGGTTTGTGCCCCCAGGAGGAAGATTTTACCTCACTTCCTGTCAGATGTCTGAAACAGGAACACAGACAAAAAACACATTTTTAGCAGCAGGAGGAAGAGTGTGAAGTTCTGACAATGTTTTTATTGCTGTCTGCACTTTCTTCTCTCAGTGGCACTTACTCCCCCTAGTCCTTGTCCTGGTGACAACTACGCCCCCTAGTCCTTGTCCTGGTGACAACTACTCCCCCTAGTCCTTGTCCTGGTGACAACTACGCCCCCTAGTCCTTGTCCTGGTGACAACTACTCCCCCTAGTTCTTGTCCTGGTGACAACTACTCCCCCTAGTTCTTGTCCTGGTGACAACTACTCCCCCTAGTTCTTGTCCTGATAACATCTGCTGCCCCATTGCTTGTCCCAGTGACATCTGCTCCCCCATTTCTAGTTCTGATGACAACTGTCCCCCCCATTTCCTGTTCCAATGACAACTGGTCCCCCAATTCTTGTCCTGATTACTTGCTGCTCCCCCCATTTCTTGTCCCAGTGACAACTGCTCCCCCTAACTTTTGCCCCGTTGACAACTTCTACCGATATTTCTTGTCCTGATGACAATTGCTGCCCCATTTCTTGTACTGGTGTCACATGAGATGGAAGTGCAGGAAAATCTCCCCAATGAGGTCACAGACAGATATAAAAGACCCGACAGAAACTAAAACAAAAAAATGTGGCCAAAGTTCGTCTTTAAAGTGAAAATCAAGAATGTAGAATTTCTCAGCGTGCTGGTCCTTATACAAAGCAGCAGCTCACATGTTTGTTCTTGGGGTTTAGTTACCCTTTGAAGTGAACCTTGAAGTAACATGCAAGGCACACATATGCTGTCCAGGCCCAGGCCTAAAATTGCCTGTCAAGGAATCAGACTTATACTTACCCTACCCCCACCTTCCTAGACGAGGATGACATCACACTTTTTCGGGTAAGATTCTGGGGAATACAGAGCAGCTGCAATTTGGAGGGAAGATGCTCTTGCAATGGACTGAAGCGTCTTCTCCTGCTCTGCGTTCCCCACGATTCTTCATGCAAGGACAGTGACATCACACTCATCAACGCGGAAGACGGAGGTAAGGTGAGTACAAATCCAACATTTCTTTACAGATACCTTTTGCACCCAGTGACATCAGATCATTTTTAAAGGGGGAGGGGCCCGGAGGGTATATGTGGACCGTACATTGTACTGCGAGGTCCGCTTTACATTAAACGTCAAACTCTATGAGAAACCTTTGTTCCTGTTCTTCTACAGACTTGTTACATTGTTGTTGTTTCCCTATGTCTCAGCCACCCCAGAATTGAACCCTTAGGCCTCTTGTTTTGGTCCTCTCATCCAACCTTGCTCTCTCTCTGCTTCTGAGCTCCTCCATTTTTGTGTAGCCCCAGTGACCGCATTGGAATGACATCGACATTATAACTCCTAAAAATAAGGATAGAAATTCTTTTTTTCTTCTTCTTCGTAAGCTCTGGTTACAAACGTACAAAACGTATAAAAAAAAGTCTGTTCAGTTTTATTTTTACGTCTCCTCTTCCCCTGATGACAATCGTGTGAAAGGAACGTCCCGTAGCGAGGGGGTTTTACGGGCTGAATCGTAGATACTGCGGTAGCTTCCTATCTGAGTGACCCACTCTCTCGGCTCCGTTGTTTTTATCCCGTCCTCCGTGTCACAGTCTTCCGTGCTGTTTTGCTAATTGGTTACCTGAGAGTTGCTGACCTACTTCTGCTCGGTCACGTCTCAGGCCCCCGCCACTGGACTACAAACCTTTGCTAGCAAATGTGTAACCGCGTGCTTGCAAACGCAGCCGTCCGCCGTATCTTCCTTTCCGTGCTCTCCCGGGTTGGGCTTTCAGGAGTGACCGTCGTTTCTCACTAATCTGGGAGGGAAAAGTTAAAAAAAAGAGTAAGAAAAAAAAAAGTCTGTGAAGGTTCTCATTCATCCAGGTCATGGTATATCTGGCTTGGCTTCTCCATTTTTAATAGAATAGAGCTTGAATAGACGGGGCCGGATTTACTCTCCCTGCTGCCCCAAGGCCAGGTTCCGCAAGCGGCGGGGTTAGTTTTATTTTTTTTTATTATTTCTTTATTTTTTTACATTTTTATTTCTCTTATCGTTTACTTTTTTATTCTTAATAATTTTTAAATCTTATAATTGTTTATTTTTTTATAATTATTTTTTTTATAATTTGTTATTATTTATTAATGTTTAATCACCCTTTTATTTAATTTTTAATTTTTATTTCTTTAATCATTTTTTTTCCACTTAACTTTATTGCTAGCACACAGGAGCTAACAAGCCCCTTTGTGATAGCATGGGGTGGGTGAGACTTCTATTGTCTGCCACATACAATGCTGTTTTAACATCTCTCTCTGGGAAAGTTAATAACACCTCCTACCTCCAATTATGCAATCAACACCTGGTTGCCACTAACAGATTATGTGGATTGGAGCAACGTTCACCATATTGATTCCCAGAGAATGTTTGTACAAGTCATTCTGAATTGAGAAAGCTGGTCGGATGACAAGTGAAATGTCTTCAAGAAAAATACAGCAAGTCCAGTTACCTTGACTTATTCTTTACAGATAGTAAGAAAAAAAGTACAACTGGATAATATCGTCACTTGGTCCTTAATAATAAAGATGTAAAGCACAAAAACTGCAAATATACACAAAATAAATATCTATATTATATGTATGAACAACGAGGGACGTATTTATATTCTGAAGATTTACCTGATAACGTTTTTTAATACAGCTGATTCTAATCACATTATTATATATGACAGCTGTCACGTACAGATACTCTTGGCACAATAAATATACCAAAAGCAGTACCTCTTCCTATCCACAAGATGTCCTCAGACTTCTGGGCTGAATGACACCCCAGCGTCACTCAAAACAGAAGGCTGAGGAAAGATTGTGAGTACAGGGTGTCATGCCTGTGCTGCCTGCAGTTACAGTGTATTGATGCAGAGAGTGGAACGGATATCATCACATCACTGCCGCCCCCTGCATCATCCAAGACCACCCACCATTTTACATAACCACAATCTGCAAACAAACTTTCTTAAACATGGTTACCCATGGTAATATAAATTCCATTTTGGAAACAGGAACGCCCACCACTGCATGCTCCTAGCTCTGAGACTGCATCCTGAGGACAATGGTTCACAAGGGAAATCGAGAGAGTGAATCTCCCCAGCAGGGACAAGGACAGCGATGAAGACCTGAGCTGATACCCTCACCATTCTATCCAAAGGTACGTTGGTATTAACACCCAAGAGAGAAGACCACAAATCATTTGACTTACTCGGAATCTGCAGACATTTCGGAGATGCTGTGTGACGTAGCAGAATGAGATGTGGAGGGGCACAGCATGGATGGAGTCGAGGAGTTTTGTACGGGAGGGTTGGCTCCCTGCTGGGTGGGATTCGAGGAGGAAAGGACCGACGTGTTAAATGAGGCAAGGATTGATGAGAGAATATCTAGCTGTTCGGTAGATGGGTGGCGACTGGGAACGGTGTCTAGGTTCTCTCTGGAAGGCTGTCTTCTGGTAAGGGGATGAAGATTGTCCCTAGACGGAAGCCCTTTGGATAGAGTCTCCAAATTATCTCTAGAGGGTTGCCTCCTAGAAAGAGGGTCTACATTATCATTTAAGGTTTGTGAACTAGGCACTGTGTCCAGATGGTCTCTGGAATTGGATCTTCTGGATAAAAAGTCTAATTGCTCCCGTGAAGGTTGCCTAGGTGGAGCCAGCTGGTCTCTTGAAGGCTGTCTTCTAGACAAGACATCTAATTGTTCCCTAGAAGTCTGTCGGTTAAGTAAAGAGTCCATTCGCTCTCTAGGTACTTGCCGACTTGGCATTGTGTTTACCCACTCTCTCCCGAGCTCTCTTACTGGCCCAGGGTCAAGCTGCTCTCTTGACCCATATCTGTTGTGTAACGCTTCCAGATGTTCCCTAGAAGCGTGCCGTCTAGGCACCAAATTCATGTCCAGCCTTTCGTTTCTGATGTCAGGTTGCTCTAAATGTTCCCTTGACCCATGTCGACTCGGTATACTTTCCAAGTGTTCCCTTGAACCATGCCGACTGGGGATCATTTCCAGGTGCTCTCCTGAGCCGTGCCTGCTTGGTATAGTATCCAGCTGGTCCCTGGAGCCGTGCCTACTGGGTACAGCTTCCAGGAGCTCCCGGGAATTATTCCTGCTCAGCTGCTCTTTAGAAAGCTGCTTGCGCATCAGCATGTCCAGCTGTTCTCGAGAAGAATATCTGCTGGTCGGTTGGGAAAGGCTGCCGGCCCCGGAATGCATTCTGCCATAGGAGGCGGCAGGGACTGCTCTGTGGCCCAACGTGGAGGTTTTATACCAGGATAATTCATTGGTCATCCTACCCAGGCCCGGAGGGTACTGAAGGCGATTCTTCAAGATGCCTAAGAAGGAATACAATCAGACAATTAGGCAAATCCCTTACAAGCTGTCCGCAGTGAGTTTCTGTACCTCTAGATTGCACTTAGTAACCCAATAAGCACTTAGGCTGGGTTCATATCTTTGTGTTACAGTAACTTGCATGTTATCGTAACACACAGTATAGCACCATGAATGTAGTAGTGCTTAGGTTTAGGTGTGATAATAAAGAAACAGTCAGACCATTAACATATATGACAGCTCCAGAACACACTCTACTCATGAAATGCAAGCTATGCGAGTAGTGATAGGAACTTGCATTGATATTATTAAGAACCTGTGGTCAGGCTATGGACATTCAATTACATATTCTTAACATGCAGTAAGGGAGCTTTAAAACAATAGCCCACTGACCCTGTAGCTGCAGGCACTATGGAGCAGTTCATCCTTAAATATCACAGCAGAGGCACTGAAATCATTGGAGTAGTTCTCTCAGCAGCTCATCTTCCCATATTCCCTTTATCCATCTTCCTAGAAGGGACTCAGCAGGTCATCTCACCCTACTACCCTTTCACAGCAGTGACTTAGTAGCTCAGCTCCCCTTGTCTTACATTGGAGGATGGAAGGCTGATGGGTCACTGCTGAAAGAGGGAAACGGTGTGAGCTGAGCTTCTGAGTCACTGCCAGGAGGGGGAGCATGGTCAGCTGAGCTGCAGAGGCACTGATGGGAGGAAGGGCGGAGTGAGTAGAGCTGCTGAAACACTGCTGGGATGGGGGAGCAGGGAAGCTGAGCTGCTGAGAGACTGCCAGGAGGCAGTGGCGTCACAAGGGGGGTGCGACCCGCACCTGGTTGACACCATTGGAGGGGTGACACCAAAATCACTGACAGTCATTTCGGTGTCACGCCCTCTGAAAAGATGGGAAGGAGGGCAAGGTGAGTAGAGCTGCTGAATCACTGCTGTGATGGGGAAGCAGGATGAGCTGAGCTGCTGAGAGGAGGACTTCAGTGCTCCTGATCACAGTTTAAAGTCATCATAATCCACGTTCATCTTCAAAGCTCAATTCCACTTTCCTGATTACATTCTAAGTAGCATTTACTACCTTTTCCAGTAAGCTTGCACAACGCTTTTTAACTAGCAATACTTCTACAAGCCGTGCCCAATGGCAAACAATCCAATTTCTTAGTCAGCATGGGGAATTGTAGGAACAGATGTACCAATGGAATGAAGATGGGTCTGTGCACACCAGGAACTGTTAGGAGAACATTCCAATGCCCTACACATCTTCAGCACCCACATGGCAGTGTAACCAAAATGTAAACATCTCGCACTGGCACATTGGTTATTTGAAGAGGTTTACGGAGGTATAGCAAAAAACAAATAGGAGGTAACCGCTGCCTCGCTATCAGTGGCGTCACAAGGGGGGTGCGGCCCGCACCCGGGTGACACCAATGGAGGGGTGACACCAAAATGTCTCACAGTCATTTTGGTGTCACCCCCCTCTGAAAAGTCGGGCGCTCGGTCATGGACCGAACGCCCGACAGTATCAGGGGAGAGGAGGGGACCCGGCGGGTGACTGTCCCCTCCTCTCTGCCGGCGTCCATCACCAAGATGGGCGCCGGCAGGTATCAGAATGCTGCCGCGTGTGCACGATGACGTCACGCGCAGTGACGTCTCGGCGGTGTGACACTCTGTTACCGCTCCGGGTGTCAACCAGCCTCGGGACGCCCCTGCTCATTATATCATTATATCACCAGCAAGATGAAACAGTTGAATGTTATGCAGCTGAAACTGTGCAATGTAAATTCTAATGATGTTCCGCAGGGGCCGGCCAAAAGCCGCTGCAGCAATTCTGGGATCCTTATTACTTTACGCCCCACCGACCTTTTCTCTGTCTGTGAGACGTCAAGGAATGTTCGTCGCCACTGGTCAGGTCCGGTTGGTTGTTGTTAGCCGCATCCTTGCTGACATCATGGCCAAGTTTCCTCTCAGAGCCCCATTTCTGCAGCGAGTTGGCCTGAACCTCCGCGTCACCCAGAGCTGGCCAGTAGGACATCAAATCATTGCCATCCATGTCTGGAAGAAAAGATGGTGTCTATTTAGATTTGGTTTAGATATCCTTTAAATCCACATTGAAGACAACCATTCAGAGTGCTGAACTGGAGTAGAGCAAGTAATGGAAAATCTGCTCTGCCAGTCATTTAACAGAATGGAGTCCATTAGCAGCTCAACCACGCAAATATCTGATATGACTGGCATAACAGGTGTCTGGTAAAAGTGTTCCAAAAGACAACTTACAAGTTCTTTAAGAGAAAAGTGCCCCCCATTCAGCAACCTGTGCTCAAAGAGACTATGGGTTCCCCCTCATTATAGGGTTTCCTCCAATGGGGATCTTACATAGTAATTGTGTAAGGTCCCCATTGAATACCACCCAATGGGGATCCTACATAGTTACAATGTAATTATGTAAGAGCTCCACATTGAAGGTCACCCAGAATGAGGGGGGCTCTCTTTGAGCACAGGTTGCTGTATGGGGGGCACTTTTCTCTTAAAGAACTTGTAAGTTGTCATTTGCTTTTA